TTTTTATTTTTCACAAGCATGTATTTATTAAAACTAAAAAAATGGCTAATAAGATATAGCATTATGCTATGGAGCCCAAAGCTCACTTGTTTTTTATGCATGTACTCATTATTTTAAGTAGAGCATCCTTAGAAGCTATTTGGTTTTCAAGTTTAAATAAATTGTTTTAAAGTGATAAAGCTCAGAAAGTGAAACCTTGGTTCCCTTGTGGAGAAGAAAATAAGGTTAAAGGATAAACAGCAAGTCAGTTAAGGGACACTAATAGATTTTCTGCTTGAGATGAGAGTTTTTCAATATTTTATATTGCTTGATCTGCCTATTCTATATGGGTCCATGAATATCTAAATTTCATCATTTTTTATTTTTATTATTATTTTATTTAATTTTATATAACAAAGTCCAATTAAATGAAAACAAACATTTATACACAATATTTGGGAATTTGGGCATCGTTCTTTTCAAACTACTTCCTGCTGGTAAGGGGCCCTGTCATGGGGGATTCGAAGAAGATTCAGATATCCTGGCTGTAGTCTGTAGGGCTGTTTTGTCCAGCTGTTTTGAATGTAGGATCAGCTTGTACTCTGTTTCAGGCGGTCTGGCATGATCAAACCACATTAGTCTGGAAGGAATCCACATCTTTTCATTTTCTGTGGAAACTAAAATAGAAATCATTTTCCCCAGTAACTTGTCCTTCAACTTAAATTTTGGAGTCAAAGCATTTTTTTTTTTTTTAGTTTAATATATGATTTTACATGTCGATCCCAGTTCCCTCTCCCTCCCTCCCTCTCTCCATCTAGCCCTCCCTCTCTCCTTCCCTCCCTTTTACCCTCTCTGCCCTCTCACATGCACACTAAACACCCTCCCCTCCCATCCCCCACCCCAATTCTATATGTAGGGAAATGCCATCCAGTTGGGGTAATGTAGATCTGACAGATCCTGTGAAGTAGGGACTAGGGCTTCTCTCCTCTCTCTAGATTAAGACAGTTATCCCTCCATGGGGGATATGTTCACAAAGTCCTTTTGTGCACCAGGGATACATCCTGGCTCCACTGTCTGAGGTCTCTTAGACTGCTCAGTCCTTCTGCCTGAGGCCCATATTTAGGGGGGCCTGAGTCAGTCCCATGCTGGCTTCCAAGCTATCAGTCTAGTGGCCATTAGCTCCTCCTTGTTCAGATAAACTGTCTGTATGTGTGTCTGCTGCATGGTCTTGTCCCCTCCATCTGCATGCATCAGGGTTCTACTCAGTGTTTATGTATGGGTGTTTGATCCTGTTTTCAACAGGCATTAGTTGAGGGCTCCATGGAGAATTAGTTGTTGATCTCACTCTCTGGTAAGGGCATTTATGATAGCCTTTCCACAGAAGCTGAGATTGTTAATTGGCAGCAGTCTTGTAGTTCTCTAGATCTTTCTTTGTGTTCAATTTTATCTTCAAACCAATATTGGCTCCCTCTTTTATGTTCTCTCTCTCTCTCTCTCTCTCTCTCTCTCTCTCTCTCTTTCATATCTTCTATTCCTAACCATGCTCAATCTTCCTGGTCACACATGTTTTCCATTCCTCCCCCTCATTTTCTCCTACTTCTCTCTGCATTCGCTGCCCCCCCCCCACTTCACCTGAGCTCTGGGGGACTTGTCCCTGCCTAGTATTGTGAGGGACTTTATATGAATTTCTTAGAATACACCTTGGATCCTAGTTCATCTGGTGATGTGAATTATAGGCTGGTGATCATTTGATCTAGCTCTAAAATCCATATATGAATGAGTACATACTGTGTTCCTCTTTTTGTAACTGGGTTACCTCACTCAGGATGGTTTCTTCAAGTTCATCCACTTGCCTGCGAATTTCAAGATAACTATTTTTTTTTCTGCAGAGTTGTATTCCATTGTGTAGATGTGCCACATCTTCATTAACCATTTTTTAATTGAGGGGCATCTAGGTTGCTTCCAGGTTCTTGCTATTACGAATAGTGCTGCTATGAACATAGTTGAACAGATGTCTTTGATGCATGGATATGAATCCTTTGGGTATATGCCTAAGAGGGGGATTGCCGGTTCCTGTGGTAAACTAATTCCCATTTTCCTGAGGAACTGCCATACTGATCTCCAAAATGGCTGTATGAGTTCGCACTCCAACCAGCATTGGAGGAGTGTTCCCCTTCCTCCACATCCTCTCCAACATGAGTCATCATTGGTGTTTCTAATTTTAGCCATTCTGGCAAGGGTAAGATGGTATCTCAAAGTTGTTTTGATTTGCATTTCCCTGATAGCTAAGGATGTGGAGCATTTTCTTAAGTGTCTTTCAGCCTTTTTGATTTCCTCCATTGAGAAATCTTTCTTCAGTTCTGTACCCCATTTTTTAATAGGGTTATTTGGTGTTTTGTTGACTAGTTTCCCAAGTTATTTGTGTATTTTGAAGATCAGCCCTTTGTCGGATATAGGTTTGGTGAAAATCTTTTCCCAGTCAGTGGGCTGCCGTTTGGTCTTGTCGACTGTGTCCTTTGTTTTACAGAAGCTTCTAAGTTTGAAGAGGTCCCATTTATTAATTGTTTCTTTCAGTGTCTGTGCCCCTGGAGTTATGTTCAAGAAGCAGTCTCCTATACCAATTTGTTCAAGGGTACCTCCTACTTTCTCTTCTAAGAAGTTCAATGTGACTGGATTGATGTTGAGGTCTTTGATCCATTTGGACTTGAGTTTTCTGCATGGCGACAGACATGGGTCTATCTGCAGTCTTCTACAAAACCTCATCCAATTGTGCCAGCACCATTTGTTGAAGATGCTGTCCTTGCCCCATTGTATAATTTTCGCTGTTTTGTCGAAAATCAGGTGTTCATAGGTGCGTGGATTAATATCAGGATTTTCAATTCTATTCCATTGCTCTACCTGTCTATTTTTATGCCAATACCAGGCTGTTTTCAGAAGTATAGCTCTGCAATAGAGCTTAAAGTCAGGAATGGTGATGCCCCTGAAGTTCTTTTATTGTATAGGGTTGTTTTGGCTATCCTGCGTCTTTTGTTTTTCCATATAAAGTTGATTATTATCCTTTCAAGGTCGGTGAAGAATTGTGATGGGATTTTAATGGGGATTGCATTGAATCTGTAGATTGCTTTTGGTAAGATTGCCGTTTTTACTATGTTATTCCCACCTAACCAAGAGCATGGGAGATCTTTCCATTTTCTGGTATCTTCTTTAATTTCTTTCTTTAGTTTCACAAAGTTATTATTATATAGGTCTTTTACTTGTTTGATAAGCATTACACCAAGATACTTTATGTTGCTTGTGGCTATTGTAAAGGGTGATGTTTCTCTGATTTCTTTCTCTGTCTCTTTGTTGTCTGAAAAAAGTAGGGCTAGATCTCTGCAGGTCCACTCGGAGTTCCTGCGGGCAAGATCCTTGACCCCCAAATCCGGGCCCCTGCCAAAGAACAAGGTCTCAGCTGGAGAGCGCCAGTTTCCAGTGAGATCTCACTACCCTGAAAAACCTTCTCAAGTTCCAGCCCAGCCCTCATCCTCTCCTGCCAGCTATTGGCCAGAGGTGAGTCTGGGCCCAATTGGGGCTGCCTGTCCCCTTCAAGCTCTTTTCCCCCCTCACCCGGCTGAACTCCCTGGATTGGCCCCTGATCCTGCTGCTCCTGTCTCCAGTCCCCATTGAGAGCATCCTTGGAGCTCTGATACACCCCACCCATCCCAACCTCCAGCCTACCCCCCCTACCCTGTGCCCTACCCCACCTAAGGTCCTGGCACTCTGGTTGAGCACTGGGACAGAGGGTGGAGCCAACAGTCCACCCTACTTCGGATACCTCTAGAACAACTCTTAACAAAGGAGACCTGACTATCCACGCCGGACTACCTGGAATTTCCACTGGCTTGTCCTCTGACCCCGCCTCCAGTCCTCTGCTGGAGTCCCGGGCCCCTCCCAGAGATCCGCCTATCTCTGCTGGTCCATTTGGTGTTCCTGCAGGCAAGATCCTTGACCCCCAAATCCGGGCCCCTGCCAAAGAACAAGGTCTCAGCTGGAGAGTGCCAGTTTCCAGTGAGATCCCACTACCCTGCAAAACTTGTCAAGTTCCAGCCCAGCCCTTGTCCTCTTCTGCCGGCTATTGGCCAGAGAGAAACCTCCTAGAGAGCTTGGACCACATAGAGCTACAGATATTGAATCTTTGATCCACATAAGCCCATCAGGGAAGGACCATTGAGAGAGGGAAGAGACACCACCAACACCTACTGGAAGAAACTATGGGAAGAAGGCAATACAAGAGAACACCTAAATACAGAAAGACAAACATGACACCACCAGAATCTAGGGAATCTACACCAACTAGAATGGAACACCACAACAAAGCAGAGGAAGCAGAAGGGTACAACTTAAAAATCACCATCATAAAAATGATAGAGGCCCTCAAAGAAGATATGAGAAAATCCCTTAAAGAAATGGAGGAAAAAACAAACAAAAAAAGTGGAAGAAATGAACAAATTCCTTAAGGAAAGTACAGAAAGCCAAGAAAAAACAATTAACCAGGTGAAGGAAACGTTTCAAGACTTGAAAACCGAAATTGAGAAAATAAAGGCAACACAAATGGAAGGAAAGCTGGAAATTGAAAAGCTGGGCAAAAAATCGGAAACCAGGGACACAAGCATAACCAATAGAATTCAAAAGATGGAAGAGGGAATCTCAGGCGCAGAAGATAAACTAGAAGAAATAGATTCATCGACCAAAGAATACCATAAATCCAACAAATCCTTAACACAAAACATCCAGGAAATGTGGGACACCATGAAAAGGCCAAACCTAAGAATAATAGGCATAGAGGAAGGTGGTGTCCTCATGGTTGCCAATTCAGGAATTGTTGCTTTGGTAACCTTTGTTCTCTTGTTTGGTTCATATGTGGTTATACTATTCACATTAAGGAATCACTCAGCAGAAGGAAGACATAAAGCTCTTTCTACCTGTGGGTCCTATTTTATTCTTTGGACATTCCATCTATGCATACCTTAGACCTCCTACACTTTCCCTGAGGACAAAATCTTTGCCTTATTTTACACCATTATTGCTCCTATGTTCAACCCTCTCATCTATACCCTAAGGAATTTAGAGATGAAGAATGCCATGAAGAAGGTTTGGTGTTAAAAGACATAGTCAGGATAGAAGCACAATTAATTTGTTTTATTTATAGATTGTTAAAAGAAAGCACTGCACAACTCTTAAAGTCATTAAGGAGAGCAATAGGTGTTTAAACTGCTCAAAGCCTTTCTCATTTATAAATAGCAAAGATGAAGAATAATTACTACCGAATATTTTACTGTGAATCTTAGTAACAAAATATGCATTCAAATTATTCTCGGCTAAAGACTGATTGTTGTATTGTGTTATAAATTTCAATGATTATTTATAATGTTACTAGTTATACAATTAGTTTTATTTCATCATAGACATTTTCTTCAGCACAATTAAAAAAATAGTTTGAAATTACCTTCAGAAAATGTAGCTTAGTGATTAACTTTATATCCTGTCAGGATTTGTAAATAATCCTTATGTGGTGACCCTTTTAAAGAACTCATTCTATAAAAAAAAGAAAGAAAGAAAAAAAAGAGATTTCAGTAATTATGGCACAGAATGTTCATCATGAATCATCTTTAAACTGGTATTTTGTCTACCCTCCTTAGAAATGTCATAGGCACATAATATAGCTTTAGGGATAGTGGCAGTTATAGGCACATGCAATGGGTTTATAGATGTTTCCAGGTTTAGGGTAAATTTATAAGGTTGTCTCTTTTACTGTCCTTAGATTGTGGAAAAACTGTATCTGTTGAGGTTTATTATGTCACCTAGTGTGTGGTCGATTTTAGAGAAGGTTCCATGTGAAGCAGAGAAGAAGGTATATTCTTTTGTCTTCGGATGGAATGTTCTATAGATGTCTGTTATCCCCAGTTGAGACATAACTTCTGTTAATTCTTTTGTTTCTTTGTTGAGTTTCTGATTTGTGGTCCTGTCTAGTGTTGAGAGTGGTGTATTGAAGTCTCCCACTATAAGTGTGTGAGGTTTTATATGAGCTTTGAGGTTTAGTAGTGTTTCTTTTACGAATGTGGGTGACTTTGTATTAGGGGCATAGATGTTCAGAACTGAGACTTTGTGTTGATGGATTTCCCCTGAGAAAGAATATGAAATGACCATCTTCATCTCTTTTAACTAATTTTGGTTTGAAGTCTTACTTGTTAGATATTAGAATAGCTACGCCTGCTTGCTTATTTCCATTTGATTGGAAAATCTATTCCCAACCCTTTACCCTGAGGTAATGTCTATCTTTGAAGCTAAGATGTGTTTCTTGTATGCAGCAGAAGGATGGATTCTGTCTTTGTATCCATTCTGTTAGCCTTTGTCTTTTTATAGGTGAGTTAAGACCATTAAAGTTGAGTGTGAGTAAGGACCATTGATTGTTGATGCTTGTTTGATTTAGGTTTGTTGTTGGCAGTGGTATTGTGAATATATTTGTTCTGCTTCACCCTTGGTTTCTGGTGTAGTTGGATTATCTGTTGCCTACATTTTTGTGGGTGTAGTTACCTTCCTTGGGTTGGAGTTTTCCTTCCAATACTTTCTGTAGGGCTGGATTTGTAGATACCTATTGGGAGAATCGGGTTTTGTCATTAAATATCTTGTTCTCTCCATCTATAGTGATTAAGAGTTTTTCTGGATATAGTAGCCTAGGCTGGCATCCGTGTTCTCTTAATACTTTTAGAACATCTATCCAGGACCTTCTGGCCTTGAGGGTTTCCATGGAGAAGTCAGGTGTAATTTTGATAGGTCTGCCTTTATATGTTACCTGTTCTTTTTCCTTCGCTGCCCTTAATATTCTTTCTTTATTCTGTATGCTAGGTGTTTTGATTATTATATGTCGAGGGGTCTTTATTCTTTGGTCCAGCCTATTTGGTGTTTGGTATGCATCTTGTACTTTCATGGACATGTCCTTCTTCAGATTTGGAAAGTTTTCCTCGATGATTTTGTTGAATATGTTTTCAGCACCTTTGAGCTGGGCTTCCTCACCTTCCTCTATGCCTATTATTCTTAGGTTTGGCCTTTTCATGGTGTCCCACATTTCCTGGATGTTTTGTGTTAAGGATTTGTTGGATTTATGATTTTCTTTGGTCGTTGAATCTATTTCTTCTAGTTTATCTTCTATGCCTGAGATTCTCTCTTCCATCTCTTGAATTCTGTTGGTTATGCTTGTGTCCGTAGTTGCCGATTTTTTGCCCAGCTTTTCAATTTCCAGCTTTCCTTCTGTTTGTGTTGCCTTTATTTTCTCAATTTCAGTTTTCAAGTCTTGAACCGTTTCCTTCACCTGGTTAATTGTTTTTTCTTGGCTTTCTGTACTTTCCTTAAGGAATTTGTTCATTTCTTCCACTTTTTTGTTTGGTTTTTCCTCCATTTCTTTAAGGGATTTTCTTACATCTTCTTTGAGGGCCTCTACCATTTTTATGATGGTAATTTTTAAGTCGTACCCTTCTGCTTCCTCTGCTTTGTTGTTGTGTTCCATTCTGGTTGGTGTAGATTCCCTAGATTTTGGTGGTGTCATGCTTGCCTTTCTGTATTTAGGGGTTTTCTTGTATTGCCTTCTTCCCATAGCTTCTTCCAGTAGGTGTTGGTGGAGTCTCCCCCTCTCTCTATGGTACTTCCCCGATGGGCTTATGTGGATCAAAGATTCAATATCTGTAGCTCTATGTGGTCCAAGCTCTCTAGGAGGTTTCTCAGCAGACAGGGATCCAGTGATGGGATCAAGGATGAGGATCCAGAATATGCAAGCAGGTACTCACAGTGGTCCTCTGGTCAATAGCTCAGTCCAATAGCTCTGGCCAATAGCCGGCGGAAGAGGGCAAGGGCTGAGCTGGAACTTGAGAAGGTTTTGCAGGATAGTGGGATCTCACTGGAAATGGCACTCTCCAGCTGAGACCTCGTTATTTGGCAGAGGCCAGGATTTGGGAGTCAAGGATCTTGCCAGCAGGAACTTGCTGAATTGACCCGCAGAGATAAGCGGATCTCTGGGAGGGGCCTGGGACTTCAGCAGAGGACTGGAGGCAGGGTCAGAGACCAAGCTGGTGGAAATTACAGGTGTTCCTGCATGGATAGTCAGGTCTCCTTTGTTCAGAGTTGCTCTGAGAAGTCTCTGAAGTAGGGTGGACTGTTGTCTCCACACTCTGTCCCAGTGCTCAACCAGAGCAGCAAGACCATGGGTGGGGTAGGGCACAGGGTAGGGGTGGTAGGCTGGCGGTGGGGATGGGTGGGGGTGTATCAGAGCTCCAAGGGTGCTCTCGATTGGGACTGGATATAGGAGCAGCAGAATCAGGGGCCAATCCCGAAATGTGATTTTTTTTTAAAGGGTTGAGACCAACAGTGTGGACTATTATATTTATTGAAAGTTTGTTGATTGTAATTGACATTCTTATGTTTCCTGTAAATCTCAGCATCAAAATACTTGAAGGCTCTAAGAGTAACTAATGATGAACCACTAATGTAAGTAGCAAGGGAAGAAGCACTTTTAATTTCCTTGTAGACTATGTAGGTCCTTTGTATCACTCATATCATCTGTGTTGAAAACACATCATGATAACTGGTGACTCAAACTGATGGGCACTTCAGTGTCAGACAGGAACCAATACATTTATTGAATACTTTGTTCAGATGCCAGGATGCTCATGAGGTTACAGAGGCAGTGTTAAAACGAATAAAAGGCAAAAAGTTACATTCTTTAAAGTATCTAATAGATCATGACCAATATTTTCTAAGGTGTTAAAGGAATAAATAATCATACTAAATTTAACATTAATAAAATATCAAGATATGTAGGAGAACTAGTACCATGATATATGGAAATTGATTCTACCCTCATCTGATTCAGAATGCAAGAAGCATCCTAGCTTAAGCTCTAAGGGGAAATGTGTGATGTTCACTTTATCTTTTACTGAGGACTGAGAAAGAATTCACAATTGAATTTATAGTTCAAGGAACAAATAATTTTCTTGAAACTGTCTTATCAAAATTATATATATATATATGTATATATATATACACATACATATATATATAGAGAGAGAGAGAAAGAGAGAGGAAGAACGGGGAACATTATAAATTAGTTTTCTGTTATGTTGCAAATTATTTTTAAAGGTTCTTTTTAAAAAGATAGATCCCTCTTTAACATAAAATTGTTTACTCTGTACATTATAGATCAGACTGAGCTGGAGATCTTGGAGATGGAACCAGAAATGGATATACATTCAAAGTCCATAACCTGAATCATACTTCCTACAATAGGTTCCAACAAACATAGTTACAAAATCTTCAATGCAGTACTGCATTGTGATCCAGAACATTCAAAACATGAGGCACAGTAATAAGAACATACACTGATCTTATAAAGAACCAAGGTTTGATTCCCAACAGTCACATGGTGGTCCACAGACAACCTTAACTCAAAAGCATAATGTCCTATAAACATGTGATTGTGCAATAGATAAAAGTGATTAAGATATTTATGATTGAAGACGGAATGTTTGCCAAAGTTCAACAGTGTCAGATCATTAAATTTAAAAATATAATCATACTAAACTCACAAGAGGGAATATTCCTAAGGTCAGAGGGTTTCTGCTGATAGGCTAGTTCTCTCTACTTGTTCTAACATTATTATAGGCTCTGAGTAATCACTCACACACACACGTATACACACACACACACACACAAAAAAAAAAAAACCTATAGAGCCTACTCTCCAAACTGAATGTTAAATAGTCTACCACACACATATACACACGCATATATTTTAATATGTATATATATATACACAAAGATACATATATGTATACACATATTCATGTATACATGTATTTTATGTGTATATGGATATATACGTATATGTATATACAAACATATAGATTAGATAGATGAGATGAAGAGAGAGACAGGCAGATAGACAGAAAATATATTCACATATATAGTTAAGCCATAACAACAATCATAATAGTGATTAAGTAAAAGATGTTCCGGAAATGTCCAGAGATCTATTGGAGAGGCTACCTTAAACGCCCTTCCCTGATAATGAGATTGATGACTACTTAATATGCCATCCTAGAGCTTTCATCTAG